GTGAGGGTTCTTCGGCGATGAAACCGAGGAACGAATGACTGACCACCAGGAGTACAACTCCCGTGAGCAATGTGATGGCCGTCAGGCTTATGAGAGACCGCTCGTTCATCGACCGATTTTCACCCTTGAGGTGTCCTAAGCTGTGTTTCGCTCGGCTGAATGAAATCCTCAGGAACGCGAACTTAACCTTGCTACTTTGATTCCTGGCTCGTTTACTAGCCCAGTGCTGTCGACACGAAGTCCGGCTCTTACGAGACCGACATTGCTGAACGCGTCGATTGTTGAAGCTGATTCCAATGTTGTGTGGGCATGCCCATGGCCAACCGCAGGGCGCCTGAGGCGCCGGCGAACACGGTATCGCATACGCGAGACACGTTGATGCGGCCGTGTTCCTTGAGGGCCTGTTCCAGTGCGGTATCGAGACCCTTCATCTGGCTGCCACCGCCGCTGAGCACGATATTGCTGATGATGGCGTACTGAACCTCGGGGTCGAGTTTCCAAATCAGCTCGTGGATTCCGGCGACGATCTCCGTAACCATCGTTTCACAAGACAGACGCAACGGTTCAGTCACGTCGAACTCTTGCGGCGGGCGGCCCTTGACGGGCAGCTTGACGCGGACTCGTTTGTCCTCGTCGCCCACGAAGCCGTGCTTCTCTTTGATCTGTCGCGCGATGTTCAAAGACAGCCGTGCCTGAGGATGAATGGCCAGCATTCGCTGGCAGAAGTCTCCATCGATGAAGTCGCCGCCGAAGGGAATCGTTAGCTGGTCCTCATCTTCTGGCAGGGCACCGAACATGGGGCACAAGTCGATGGTGCCGGCACCGATGTCGATGACCAGCCCATTGTGACATTGCTTCGTGCCGTAACCCACTGCGAACGGTTCGGGTACCAGCAGCACCGCATCCAGGGCCTCTTGGGCAATTTCCAAGATGAGTTGTTTGCTTTGATCGCTGCATCGCGAAGGTACTCCGACGACGCCGCAGGTTCGCACATCGCGCGAAGGAGTGACTAGCGAAACGGCCTGGCGAAGCAACAGCGTGGCGGCTTGCTTACAGCGTTTGGCTTCCTGCTCGCTGATGCCAGCTTCGGCGGCATCCTGGTACTTCAACAGGCCGCGTTCGAAGGGACGCACCACTTCAAGTGCCAGGCGGTTCTCTTGGATTTCGGAACCGAACACCACGTCTTTGCCAATAACCTCGCGGGCGACGTGGTCTTTGGGCCAACCGACCATGGTCTGCAGAACCTCTCGCATGCCGTTGGAACTGGCCACAGAAGTGTTCAGGGTTCCAAAATCGATTCCGATGTAGACCGTATCCATTGAATCCATTCCTTCCTGGAATTGCCCCAGATTAGGCGCCGTCGTTTTTGCGGATTTGAAGGTTCTTCTCGAGAATCTTCTTGTACAAAGCAGACTGCAATTCGGTTTGCTGTTGGTTCGTCGGGTGTTCTTCAGCCGTTGGTTTTGGTTGATAAGGGCTCGAACTCGTCGAGGAGTCGGTGAAGCTTTCGTAATCGAAAGAGTTTTGCGAGCGCGATGCTTGCTGGCTGTTTCGTTTTCGCGAAGCGTTGCTGCGGCGTTTGCGTTCCGAGCGGGCCTTCGATTTCGGTCGTCGTGGGCGTTCTTCCTGTCGGTGATCGACGTCGGCGTAAACGAACGACGGGTGCATCATGACCGGTGGCATATACGCATGTTGCTGCGGATAGGCCATGAACTGTGCTTGCGGCGGAATGCCCATCTGCGGCTGGTTGCCACCTGAGGGCTGATAGGTGTTTGGTTGAGATTGCGGGGCCACTTCAGTTGCTGCAGTAGCCGTGCGTGGCATCATGCGAGATACTAGGCTTCGCAGGATGAGCGTGACCAGCAGCAAGAACAACGTGGCCAGAATGCCTACAAAGACCCCGTAAACGGCCGCAACCGAGCGAGAGCTGAGGATTTGATCCAAGGCCGAGCGCGGTACCACCGCGGCAGGCGGGGTGAGCATCTGCGGTTCGCCCGAGGGTTGAGCGACGATTGCTGTGGCTTGTTGAATGGGTTGGACCTGCTGGGGCGGAGCTGCTGCCGGCATCGCAGGTTGTTCCCAATCGGCAAGCGCTGGTTGAACTGGTGGCTCGATCGGAGCGAGTTCTTCGGTGTACGAAATCGCTGGAGTGGGTTCTGGCTCTGGGACATATACTTCGACGGGAACCTCACGAACGGGCTCTTGAGCGAACTCGTTAGTGACGGTTTCTTGCTCGACTACGACCGCTGAGACCTGTTGAACTTCGCGGTAGTCGTCCAGCTTTTCGACCAGCCAGTTGCAGTCGGCTGCATATTCGGCCGGAGTAGCGGTGTCTTGCTCGTAGCCTTCTTCGGTTGAAATTGAGTAGTCAGCAGTTTGGACCGCGAATGGGTCGCCGTTCACTGCGGCTGCCGGAATTGGGAACTCGGTGATATCGGGGTAGGGGGCTTCTTCAGAGAGGTACTCGTTGATGTCGCTGCTAGTGTCATTGGCAGTGAACTCGCCAGGAGCGGCTTCCACGGCGACTGCAGCTGGGACGGCCTCTGCGCTGGCAGCCTCTGCAGCGAGTTCGGCGGCCACGGTGTCGTAGTCCGGCTCGATCGCGGCAGCCTGGTTCATTGTGGCTTGGGTAGCGACAGCGCTTTCGAAGGGATTTACTTCGGCGCTTGGCATCCCTCCGGCGTCATTGCTCAGATCGAGCGGAAGGGCCTGCGCGGGCGCATCTGAGATGGGAACCTCAGCTCCCCGGGCAACGAAGGCGTCGCCAGTCTCTGGAAGCGGCTCGGTCTCTTGGCCTACCACGTAACCGCGGCTGAGTATGAGTAGCGCGAATGCGAAGTAAAAGGTTCGCATTGCCTGGTTTGCAAGTTTCATCAGCTAGCTCCGGTTCGCGATGGTTCCGCGAGTTCATCTACATGCACACATTGGTCGACCCTGCGGGTTGTTCTGCTTGAGCGAATTCTTCCGGTTAATCCAATTAGATAAGCTGGGCAGAGAATACCGGGGGGGCCTGCAAGGTGGCTGCTAGCGTATTGCCCTTGTAAGACCGGCGACTTTTGACATCTATCTATAGTGCCGCTGCAAGAGGTCTCTAGGCACCCGGCAAACGAACGCAGGCGACGCTAGATACGACAGCTATATGGGCCCTGCCTTACGCAGGGCGAATGCCGCATGCACCGCTATCGATTCGCAAACAGAATCGCTGCGAATCGGGCATTTAGCGCCGGACGATTGCACGCTGCAGCACCGGAAAGGTTTAGAAAACTAGATAAAGTGACTCTAGGGATCGTCCGAGTCGGGACGATACTTCTTCTCAGACAACCTTTATGGGTTGTGCGGGCCATGCCAATGGTGACGACCGCAGCGGTTGTAACTGTGGTAGGTATCCGCGAATCGTAAAAGTTGAACTTGGCACGGTTCTCATACGTGACAGGCCGGAGTGAAACGCTCGTCTTTACTGGCGGGCGGTTTCCCAGTTGTCACTGTGTGGAACGTCTGTTGCCTCGAAGAAGCCGTCCAGACCTTTGTATTCGGGGGGAATACGATGGCCAAGGTTGCCGTCTCATGTTGCGCTTTCTTGTTTGCGATTGCGGTCCTCGGACCTGCGTCGGCTCAGGACGTGGTTTACGAAGCCACGATCTCCAGCCCACCGGAATCGGTTTCGGTGGAGGACCTCATTGAAGAGGCTTTGATTCTTGATGAATCCGAATCGGATTCGGGCGAGACTTCCGAGGTTTACTCTTCGAACCAGCAGGTCGAAGTGATCTCCGAGATCGATCTAGATTCGGATGAGTCGATCACGCTGGCCAACTATTCAGAGGCCCAGGAAGAAGTCCCGGTACCTCCGAACACCAGCGAGTTCGTCACGCCGACCGACGGGCCTGTCTTCTTGCACGAAGATGGATCCCAGATCGCCGGTAACTTCATGGGTATCTGCAACACTTGGTGCCGTGCCGGATTGGTCGGTGGTGTCGAAGGCACATTCTTGGCTCCCATCAGCGAACCGCAACAAGCGGTGTATCTGACAGACCTGACTAACGGTCTGCAATACGTGGGCCACTCACGGCCGGGCTTTGGCTCGGGTGTTCGCACCTGGATTGGCTTGCAGAACAACGGCTGGGGCTTCCGCGTTCGCTACTGGCATTTTGGCAACGATTTCATCGACCCCAATCCTGTGGTGCCAGTGAATGCGGAACCGGCGTTCATTTCGTCGTACTACTTGCGGGCCGACGTGCTGGATATCGAACTGACGCAAGCGTTCTGCTTCCTGGGTTGCGAACTCAATACCTCGTTCGGCGCCCGATATGCGGAGCTGGAACGGCAGAGCAGCGTGGTCGGTTATGGCGACGTTGGGAACGGTGTGAACCTGTATGGGCTAGCCATGGGTGCCAACGAGATTGCGGGTACTGGTTTCACCACGTCAATCGGTGGTCGTAAGCCGCTGCACTTCTTCTGGTGTCACTCCTGCGACTCTTGTGGCGGGCCGTGTGCCGGAACTTGCTGCAATCCCTGTGGGCGATGGTTGGGTTTCTGGAACGTTCGCGGTTCGGTGTTATGGGCCGACTCGACCGTCTCGGCACTCACCGATGCGAACGCTGTGATCAAGGGCTCGGTGGTTGCCGCGGCCAATTCGCGAAACAAGGCTTCGGCTACGAAGGATCACTCGGAAACGCTCGGCATCATCGAGCTTCAGTTGGGTATCGAATACCAGCGGTGTCTCCGCTGTTGTCCGGCAACCGCGTTCGTGCGTGCTGGTGCTGAGTATCAATACTGGGATACTGGAGACCTGGCTGCGTTCAGCAACTCGTTTGCCTCGCTGGAAGGCTCGCCGCCTCCGTTCGGCGGACGTGCCGATGCGGTGGCCAACGCCCACGACGGCGACCTGGGCCTGATCGGTTTCATCCTCGGCGCCGGTCTGACGTACTAGGATCGAACCCTACCGATTCAACCATGCCACGGTGGGCCTTCATTAGCCTGCCGTGGCTTTTTTGTTTTCGGATCTACGATCTGAACTCGCGGCTAGAGATGAGTAGGGCTTACGGTGATGGCCGATCATTAGGATGACGCCAGAGCCACCATTGGGCTTTCCACATTAGGTGCCGATTGCGGTTGCGGTGGAAGCGGGGGCTTTGCCGGACGCTGAACACGACGTCTTGCATGAGTTGACCGGCTTTTTGTAAGTCGCCCTGATCTTCTTTCAGCAGTGCGTAGTCGTAAGTGCCCTCGGGCTGGCCGGGATAAAACTTCAGCAGCTCGTCGAACACTTCCGAGGCTCGTTCTGGGTTGCCGAGCCGCTTGTGGGTTTGGGCCAGACGCAGGTAAGCGTGGCCATAGTCGTGGTCGGGCTTGATGCTGTGCACCTTTTCCAGGTAGTTCACCGCTTCGTCGTACTTGCCACCGTCGAACAGACACAGCCCTAGCCGGTAGGTGGCTTCCAGGTGGTCGGGGTCTTTCTCCAAGGTTTTCTGGAACCAGGGGATGGCTTTGGCTTGCCGCCCCTGCCGCAAGTAAAGCTGCCCTAACTGTGCCATGTGGTGTGGCTTGTTCATGTTGTTGATCTTCTGCTGAAGATCGGTGATCTCATCACGCCGACCCCGCACCCGCTCGACCATCTGCCGCAGTTCGTCGCTCATTTGGCGATATAAACCGGGGGCGAAGATCAACGTGAAGAAGAACAGCGGGCACGCCAGGCCGGTGGCCGTGCTGACGATGTAGCCCGTGACCCTGGCGAGTGGAGTCGGCAGAAACGGCGTAACGAACGACAGCACGACAAGCGCGCAGACAATGATGATGAGTTTTCGGAGCATGGTGGGAATATATCGCGGCCGGCGACTCTTCGCGACCGCAGGTTTGAGAACCACGCGGAGACGCGATATGATCCGCCTCAGATGTCCTTGAAAAGGTAACCCGAAGAACCATCGCAGCGTCGGGAAATGACAAGATGAAGTTAGGTTTGATCAACTCCGCTTGGGTTCAGGCCGGGCAGCCCACTGAATTCGGGCTGCAGAAAACCAAAGAGATTGGCTTCGACACGATTGATGTATTCACCGATCCGCTGGATATGGATATCCGCGAGCGTCGGGCCATCAAGGATGAATGCGACCGGTTGGGGTTGCCGATTGTCTCGATTCCTTGTGTGGCCGTGGGGCTGATCGACTTCAACCCGAGCGTGCAGGAGTTTCATCGCGGTCGGGTCGAAGCCTATCTGGACTTGGCCTATGAATACGGGGCGCGCAATGTCTTACTGGTAATCGGCGAGTACATCTGGCAACGGGAAGTGATCGCCCCGGCCGACCAATGGAACACCGGTGTAGAGAACGTACGGATGTTGGGCGAGTATGCGGAAGAGTTGGGTTTGGAAATCGCCCTGGAGTTGGAACCATTCAAACTGTCGTTGTTGAACGATATGGACACGATGGTGCAGTTCTTGGATGACGTCGATCACCCGGCAGTGAAGGCCAACATCGACATTTCGCACCTGGTGTTGTCCGATGTGCCGGCCAGCGAACTTACGCGGCTCAAAGGTCGGGCGGCTCACGTACACATCTCCGATTGCGATGGAAAAGTGCACGGAGACTTACCGCCGGGGCGTGGTGTGGTGGAGTTCGAACCTTACTTGAAGGCGATTGCCGAGTTGGGCATCGATGGAGCGATATCGATTGAGTTGGAGTACTCACCCGAGCCAGACAAGATCGTCGAGTGGGTTACCGAGGCGTACCACGAGACCGATCGATTGATGCAGGCTGTAGGATTGCGAGATTAGCGAAGCGATGCGGCAGGCCGAACGCTACTCGGTTCGCATCCACTCGGGCACGCGTTGCACTTGCCCGTTCTTGTCGACGCAGGCCAGCATGCTGGCACCTTGGGCGAGTAGCAGGTCGTCGCGGTAGAGATGGTATTCGTGCTCGATCTTGGCCGCGGAGACCTTCTTGGCGGTGGTCTTCAACCGCAAGATATCGTCGTAACGGGCCGGCTGGTGATAGCGGGTTTCGAGCCGGACCACGACCATGTAAAGGCCGTCGTCTTCCAACTCGCGGTAGCTGATGCCTGCGGACCTCAGCAACTCGGTGCGGCCCATCTCGAAATAGATGATGTAGTTGGCGTGGTGCAACAGGCCCATCGCGTCAGTTTCGCAGTAGCGGACGCGGATTTCTATTTCGTTTTCGGTGACTGGTTTTCGGACCATCGGTGCGGCATTCGGTTGAAAGTGATCGGCATTGCCCGGGGCAGCGACCTCGAGGGCCGTGCGTGTATCCCACCCAATGTGGTCGTTTTCTGAAGTTTGGCAAGGTCGAAACGGCGGCGCTCGGGCAAAGTTCCCTGGGGACCTGGCAACATTGACGGAAATTGGGGATTTGCTTAGGCTTAGCGGCGATGTATCTGGCGCACTGTCGCTAGGCCCTGGCTCGATTGGCCTTCGTGCTGGGGCAATCGTCATCGATCCTCTAAGCGGCCGGAATGAGAGCCAGGTATGAGTGTGGGAGAAGGTTCAGGCACCGACTTCGCTACGATGCGGGGCCGTAATTACCCCACCATCCGCCAGTTCACCGTGTTCCTCGAGAACCGTGTGGGCCAGTTGCTGGAAGTGGTTCGCCGCTTTGAAGGCAGCAATGTGCGGATTGTTGCACTTTCGATTGTGGACACCACCGAGTGCGCGTTTGTGCGGTTCCTGCTCAGCCACCCGGAGCAAGGTCGAGAGATTCTGGAACGCGCCGGGCTAGCGATGATCGAGAGCGACCTGATCGGCGTCGAGCTTCCCCCTGGACAGCAACCGCTGCTGCGGGTGTGCAAAGCCCTGCTCGAAGCCGAAGTGAATATCGTGCAGACCTATCCCTTGTTGGTCCGCCCCCGCGGTCGCCCCGCGGTGGCTTTGATGGTCGATAGCCTCGACGTGGCTATGGAAACGCTGGCCTCGCACGGGTTCGCCATGATCACCGAAGGCGACCTGATCGAAGAAGACGAGCAGTAAGCAGGCCTTGGGCCGGCTAGCCTAGTCGTAAAGAACCCAGTTCGCCCGCAGGGTGCGCTTGAGCTGTTCGAGTTCTTCCGGCGACATCGGCGGCTGCTCTTTCGTCTTGCTTTGCATGCTCTCGGCCTGCTCGCGCGAGCTGGCTTGAATCATGCGGTCGACCCCGCTGGAGTCGGTGACCAGAAACCAGTACGGCACAAACTGATCGTTACGGGTTCTGGCTGAAAGCATGACTTCGATGTTGCCACCCAGGGCAGGGTAGCGAATCACCACGTAACCGTCTTCTTCGTTCTTGCCATTGATGCCGAACAGGCTGACTTCGTCGGCACGGACCGAGCGATGCTCGCCCGGTTGAAGGGTGATAGGGGCGGTCCATACTTCTCCGGCGTCGCGACGGAGTTGGAACGTAAATGGTTCGTCGGTGATGTTCCAGAGCTGGCCTTCGACTGATCTAACACCATCTTCGGCAATTTGCCCGAAGGCGGTGTTCGCGGACAGGCCAAGCAGTAGGGCCATCGTCACGACTAGGGCAATGCGAATACCGGCGGTGCCACGGTTGGACATGTTTGCAGTGTGAATGTTCATGGGAGGATGGCCCCTTTCAGACGACGATCGTTCACCACATCAGAATACTGCAACCTCCCGCGGAGAGGGCGATTGCGGCAGGCCGAAAAAGAGCTTCGGCGACTGTCGCAGCACTGCCGGGGGGATGCATGACTCCTGAAACCTACACCGCAATCGAACTTGCGGTGGGTGAAATCGCGGAGGCGCAGGGGGGCGCTAGTCGCGCGAGGCGAATTGTGCTGGGCGTATCAAATTTAACGATGGGGCCTTAGAGCCAATCGTCGTTGCCGAAGAGAAGATCGTCGGCCTCGGGCAGGCGACGTTCGCCGGCAGCAAGGGTGGCGGTCATCAGTTCGTCGTGGTGATGGGCGGCAGCCAGATCGTCGAGCCCCAGGGTGTGTCCCAGTTCGTGGGCAACCACGGTGAGCAAATCTACACCGACGATGTTGTCGTCTGTTGAGTCTAGATGCCAACCGCGACCAGCTGCGTCGCTGTCGAGATAGATTGTGTCTTCGAGTGCCAATCCCAGGTAGTTGCCCGGCAGGTCGGCGATGCGGAATTCGACGCCGGCTAGTGTCGCGGCCTGGGCACTGCTGAGCCCGACGGTTGTCCAGCTTGCGATCGCTTCGAACACGGCGGTGTTCAATTCGGAGTACGTCAGTTCGTTTGCAGTGGAGTTCAGGTCGGCAGCGCCGTTGAGTTTGAGCGGCGAGCCGGAAGGACCGTTCCAATCGCCGATCAGCGGCTGCCAGCCTCCGCCGGCGGGGCCGTAGTTGAACGCCGGAACGTCGGCCACACCTGAGCTGTTGGCATTGCGAAGGAAGAACGTGGAGGTTCCGCCGTTGTAGACACCGATGGTATCGACGCCGTCGCTGTTCCAGTCGCCAGCCAGAGGGGTCCAACCGGTGGCTCCGTAGTTGAACGCTGGAATGTCGGCCACGCCCGTGGAGTTACTGTTACGCAGGAAGAACGTAGCAGTAGACGAGTTATAGACACCAATTGTGTCGATGCCGTTGCCGTCCCAGTCGCCCACGATGGGATTCCAGCCTGGGAGTCCGTAGTTGAACGCCGGCACATCGGCCACGCCGGAAGAGTTGCTGTTACGCAGGAAGAAGGTTGCGGTGTCGGGATTGTAGACTCCAATCGTATCGATCCCGTCGCCGTTCCAATCGCCCACGATGGGCGTCCACCCTGGCATGCCGTAGTTGATCGCTGGCATGTCGGCGATTCCGGTGGCATTGGTGTTGCTGAGGAAGAACGTTGCCGTAGCTGGGTTGTACACGCCAACCGTCTGAGTTCCATCGCCGTTGAAGTCGCCGGAGATGGCGATCCAACCAGGTTGGCCGTAGGTGTACTGACCTGCATCGGGTGTTCCGGAACTATTCGCACTTCGCAGGTAGACGCCTGCCGAGCTGGGATTGAACAAGCCGACGGTGCTTTGCATGGGGCCCAAACCCTGGCTCAGCCCGGTCGGCGGCGGATCAAAATTACCAAACAGCGGTAAGGCGAACTCATCGCCATATTGGGCGAACAAATCGTTGCCCAGTGGTTGGGGCGAGAAGGGGTGATCCAAGTAGTCGACGGTGCCATAACCCGAGGCGATGAATGCCGCTTCGGGTCCGTTCACTTCGTTGGGAATGTCGGAAAGCAGGAAGTACCATTCGGCCGCGCGTTCTGGAAGCTGCCCGCTACGGCCGGGCACCCAGAGCCCGATGTCGTCGATGCCGTCGAGGTTCAAGTCGCCAGCCACGGGGCGTTCGAGCACGCCGCTGAAGCCCCAGTTGATCGTGTCGTCGAACTGACCATCGAGACCATCGAAGGCCAGGTCGAACTGGAACACGTTGTTGGCGAACGTGCCCAAGTCGTCGATGCCGTCGCCGTCGAAATCACCCACGATCGGGTAGCCGGTCATGTTGCTGTTGGGCAATTGCACGTCAAGGGGATCGATCACGTCGTTGGCGTTGGTATCGAGATACCAGGTGCGACCGTCGAACAGGCCGACCTCGTCGCCGTCGATCGCGAAGCCGTTGAAGTTACCGGCGATGGGCAGACCGTCGATGGCCAACGGGTTGATGAGGTTCAGGTCAGCAACCCCGTCGTTATTGGTATCGAGAATCCACCGCCAGGAGCCGTTCACCAGGCCGTAGGCTCCCAGTTTATCGAACCCGTCGGCGGCCATGCCTTGTTGGTTGAAGTTGCCGGTGAAGAGATAGTCGGTGGCGAAGCCATACTGGAAGACCAGATCGCGGTTGGAGAAGTCGTGATTGGTGGTGTCGAAGTAATAGTTGCCGTTGGCATCGACGTACACGCTGCCATCGCTGAAGGTGGCAATCTCGGGTCGGCTGTCAACGGTGAAGCGAGCGACAAAGTCGCCGCCGGGAGCGCCATCGCCTGAGGGCAGCACGGGGTTGTCGTGCGGAGCGTTTGCCCCAGACTCACCGTCCAGCGCGTTACCGGGTTCATCGCGAATGCTGTCGCGGACGCGGAGAGTGTAGCGATCGTCGGGAAGTGGCTCGTCGAACAGCAACCGCACGGTAGTCAAACCGGGGCCGCCGGAGACCGTGTTGTCGATGTACTGGACGCCCGCGATGGGGATCACACCGTTGTGATCGCCGACCAGTTCGTAGTTGCCGATGGTGGAGGCCAGTTGTTCATTCACCGCTGGGTACAAGAAGCCGGCGGTGACGGAGCTGACCAGGCTTTGTAGCAGTGCGTTGCTGAACGAGGTGGCAGTGTCGCCGCCGAGGCGAAGTTGGTTCAGGTCGCTGACGATTCCCTGTGTAGCGAAGCTGAGGTTCACGTAATCGTCGACCGTCGTTCCTGCACCCCCGGCCACACTGCCGCCGGGCCCGGCGATAAATCCACCGCTACCGTCGGCAACAAAGGATACGCCGTCGAACGAAAGGGCCAGCGCGGGGTTGTCGCCCGAATCTCGCAGGTCGACATCGAGGATGGCATGCAACGTGGCATCGTTGGTGTTCAGGTCGGCCAGCACCGAGGCGAACGTGAGCGTGACATCGGTGTTATCACGATCTTCGTCAGTGACCAGGATGATGAGTGTGTCGGCCTCGGGACGCAGCGAGTAGACACTGCCATCGAGTGCCAAGTCGATTCCGTCATAGCCGTCTTCGGTACCACCGTCGATGAGCAACGAAGCCGTGGCGGCCGTGAATTCTGCCGCGGTCCCGAAGGTTCCCGCACCCACCATGAACGATCTGGCATCGACTGTGCCTGAGCCGAAGCCGACCAGGCCGTAGCGATTCGCGCCCGAGACGGTGCCCACTCCGGCAGCGATGAGGCCCGCTTCTAGGTCGGGGATGAAGTCGCCGAGGAACATTTGCTCGCCCGACATGCTGCCCGACTCATCGACCACCACGATGATGTCGAGCGTGCCGGAGGCTTGGCTGCCTGCCTCGCCGCGAATGGGGTAATCTATGAAGCCGATATCGATGCTGGTGACCGGAGGGGTGGGGCCATCTTCCGAAGGCTTGGGGTCGAACAGATCGTAGGCTGGGTAGTCAGTCAGGCCAACGCTTTCGACCTTGGGGGCCTGTGTGTCGAGGAAGATGTCGATGAAGCCGGAACCGATGACTTCTCCGCCATCGGAGACATTGCCGGCCACGTCTTCGGCTGTGGCCCCGATTTGCCGTAGACCATCAAACGGGAAGAAAGCCGGATTGTTCAGATCGACCAGCAGGTTGGTCAGCAGCCATTCGCCGTCGGTGAAGACCTGATTGCCGTCCAGCGGGATGGCGACCGTTTCGCCGAGGAACGTGTCGGAGGCGTCGATGGCGAATTCGCTCAAGGGGTCGCCGTCGCCGAATACTCTTACTAGCGAGTTTGCTTCTGCCAAACCAAGGAATGCGGGGGCCGAGTCGCTGGTGATGAAGTCGACGAACGTCTCGGGCTGACCGAGGATTCCCGTGTCGCTGGCGGGGTCGAGCGTAATCGAGGGCGTAGGCGGAGCCACGGTGTCGATCACTACGGTGAGCAAGAAGTCGTGGCTGAGGTTTCCGGCCCGATCTTCAACTTCGAGTTTGAGGTTGTGCACCCCGTCGTCGAGCAACGGCAGGACGTCGGTGAACACACCGAGGGTGGTTAGCCCGCCGAGATCGGTGAACGAGTCGACCAGCAGCACTTCTTCATTCGGGCTGAGGCGATCGAAGATGCGGTAAAGGATGTCGTTGGGGAAGGGGTTCGTGCCCACGACGAACGGGTCGTCGGCCGTGGTGATGACGGTCGGGGTGTTGTCGTTGGTGATGTCGTCGGTGTCGTTGCGGCCCGAGTCGCTGGCGGCGTCGAGATCGAGCACCGGCGTGTTGGGCTGAATGGTGTCGATGTAGATCGTGAGCGCTTCGGTGGCTTCGCTTTGGTTTCCGGCTGCGTCTTCGACGATGGCCAGAACTTCGTACATGCCGTCGGTCAGGGGTTCAACC